GTCTGCTGCCTTTTTTCTGCTTCCTTGTGATTCTCCATTAGCTGCACTTCTCTTTTGGTGAAAGTTACTGTGAGAGAGAGAATGTGACTGAAACGTGCATTGAGAGCCTAGGAAACATCCTTACTAGGCACTGTTGAGGCTTAGCCAACTCATAAATGGTTGGCCAGAATAGAGATGGCTACCTCTGGCTCAAAAGCCCATCCTTGGGCACTTAGTTGTACTCATGGTAGCACCATGTGACCCAAATATGGCTTCACCATAAAGTGCATACATCAAGTGTATGTTTACAAAATTGGTCACTAGCAATACTATCAACAAGGGCCATGTTGAAAATAACATTTGATCCTTTTTGAAAGGTTGTATTTAACCTACATTTGAACACATGAAGCACACTTTGGCAAACCACCCTATGCATTCTCCTCTACCTTTCTTGTTTCCAAAAGTCCCTCTTTCCCCTTTCCCCCTGAATGAAAGAACCTTTGAGTAATGCTAAATCTGACTGGCAGGTTTTTATTTCTGCACCATACTTGGCCTTTCTTCAACAGAAAGTCTTGCACACTGGATTCCAAATGAACAACATGGCATTCTCTGCCTTGTTGAATAGTCTCTTGCATCAGAATCAGTTCAATGGATAATTTCTAAATTGTTATTTGTTTATGATTCCATAAACTGTTTTCTTCTCAAAAGAATATAAAACCAATATTTTATTGGTTTTCATAAGGTTTTTCTGTGATATTTGGTTCATCTTGAATTACTTGTATTTGCTCATTTGTCATTTATTGCCCAGATTTATGGAGCACCTAGTACCTTTCAGGGTTTGTATGTTTATCTGTTAGGTTGTCAGGAAAGTCATGATGCATTTCTGCTTAGAAAAAATATGTCATGACTTTTCCAACAACCCAATGTCTTATATAGTCTCGTTCCCAAAGCAAAACTGTTATGCTTAAATCCCCAAATAACTTCACTGCAGATAAGTCAATAGATGAATTCTCAGAGAAAGAAATGCAATTTCAGTGTCATTAGGTCACCAGTCTCAGGGTCAGCAGTTTGGAGGTCTGGTATTTGTTGTCCATGTAGATGGGCCACCACATCCTGAGTCATGGGCTTATCTCTCATCCCATCCTTACTACAGTCTCACTCTTAGTTCACCTGAGCAGGATTGGTCTTTGACTCTAGCATAGACTTGGGTAGTGTAGAAAATATAGATTTCTTCCTAACCCAACTAAACCTAATCATATGTATGTGAGCTAAGAAAAGTTAACCTAACTTTTGTCCTTTTTCCTTGATCACACGCTGTTTGCTAGATTAAATTAAGTAGATTTGGATGGACATTACTAAAATATAATAACAATTTTTCTTGAAACTGATTCCTAATATCATTTCCAGGGCTGGACCCCAAGGTCATGTTTCAGGGTCACAGGCTGCTCAGTCACTGTGTGCTCAATCTCACCCCATTTACTTCTCCCAGGAAGAAAGCCATATCTCAGTATGTCCTCAGGCTTTCTATCTCAGACCATCACCATTTTACTGATTATTCATGGAGGTCTAATAACATTGGGACCTTAGACATTTGGCCTTAAAGTTTTCATGCCTTTTCTTCTATCTTTGGCACACTTTTACTAAGTAGTGGATACAAAATTTTATTTCATCTTCAAAACAGGTTTAGCTTCTCATCCACTATTCCAAATTAGCATCAAGGTCAAAAAGTATTATTTATCTGTCTTTGATGGCAGGTTCTAACTATTTTTGTTTCAAATCTCTATCAGTTACTTCTTACTACAAAAAGCAGAATCTCTGTCTTTTCTTTTAGAAAGTATTTATTTCTACCTGGGTTTCCCATTACAAACCTCTTCCTATATAAAGAGGCCTTTATTAATTTAGAATTATTTATTTTATTTTATTTTATTTTATTTATTATTATCATTTTTTACTTGACAGCAAGAGACAGAGAGGAAAAGGGAGAAAGCAAAGCACCAGGTTCAGGACTAGAACTATTGTTGGCCATGTGAGAGACCAGCATCATAACCACCATGCTACAGGACAGCCCTAAAGAAGCCTCTAAATATTAGCTCATTCTCAGAGCAGAAAAACTCTCAGGGAGTAACCAAAATCATGTAAGATACTCTACTTATTGCCTAGGTTCTACTTAGTGATTCACCCCTGAGGAAACTCTGAGATGTCATCTTTTAGAATCTGATACTCCACTATTTAACAATAGCAAAACTACTTTACACTAACTATAAACACAACAAATATGGTTTCTACCAATAGAAAGAAAAAGTTAGTAACTGACAAATCCAAAGTATCAATTACTCTCTAAGACTGATATTGGAAAGAGTCCACAGTCTCTAATTTGAAAGTGACATTTTTTTTTTTTTTTTTTTTTTTTTTTTGCTCCTCAAAACACACTAGCATACTTCAGGAGGATGTTTTAAAAATTATTTACTACATGTAAGTGGTAGTCCAGACAACTCATATGATAAAAATACCATGATTCTGCAAAAGTAAGAAGTTATCTTAGAATAGACCTAGTCTGTACCTTAAATCTCTAGCACCCAGACATTAAATTTCATTAAGTGCATAAGATTTTAATTTATCTATAAATATACTCCATACTACTAAAATTTCTTTTCTTCTCTTTTTTCATTTGCCAGAGGGCATATGTGCTAACCAGAGGGACGGAAAAAGAGAGAGAAGAGACGTGAGAAGGAATCCCCTCAAGGGAGATAGTCACCTTGCAATCTCTTCTCCTTTTCCCCATATTTTGGGATTTGGAGGCACACATGCACATGTTTCCAGTTGTTTTTCAAACTACCAGGTCTGGGACTCCAACCACACTAGATCAATGTGGGAGCCAGCCACTTTAACCATCACACCATTGGTTGGCTCATAAGATTTAATTTCTATTGGAAATTTTATTTTTATACTGGATTGTTGGAGAAGTCATGATGTATTTTTTCCTACACAAAAATATGTCATGACTTTTCCAACAGCCCAATAGCTTCTTATGTTTTGGAAATTATTTTAATTAGAGAGTAGTCTGGATTGCTACATTATCTTCTTGAAAAAAGATTAGAGGATCCATAATCTGATGAGTCAACATAGCTGGTTGGCTAGTCAGGATGATTCTGTGTCCATCAGTGTCAGCTGTGACAAGTATTCATGTCAAAGGGCAGTGTGAGCATTTGTGCAGCCACAGTGTCAATCAGAGGGAATGTGTGTTTGCTATGTGAAGGTGTGCCTTCCAGGACTAATTACCTGAGTAGTTCTCTGTATTCTGCTTCCATATATTGTAACTGCTCGGTCATACAGCCAGAATAATCCTTTAGTTTCACCACAAATCTGACTGCCTATCTGGGTTTAACATTTGAATTTTCTTCTCAGAAAACATCATGGTGTGAACCAAACTAATGGTAACTGAGGATACAGGCATGCAATCTGTCAAAGCCCAGATATGATGTAGAGCTGAAGTTCGCTACTCTTCTCCTATTCTTCTTCAAACTAGATTACTTTCACTTTACAATTGCATTTTTTTTATTTTACATTTTTTTCTTTAATTGCCAGAGGTTTTGTGCACATGAAAGAGAGAGAGAGAGAAAGAGTGCCCCCCATGGGGTGTGGTCATGCCATAATCCCTTCTCTTCCATTTTCCATCCTGTTGGGATTTTGGACACATAAGCACATGCATGCATCATGTTTCTTAAGCTGCTGAGGCTGGGATTTGAACTGCAGCCAGCCATGTGGGATCCAGCTTTGTTTGCATATGTATGTATCTCTATATATACATACATGGCTTGGTTTGAATGCTTATCCCTCCAAAACTCATGTTGAAATGTAGTTGCCATTGTAACGGTGTTGAGAAGTGGGAACTTTAAGAGGTGATTTGGTTGTGAGGTTCCATCCATGATAAAAGGGCAAGTTTGGCCCCTTTTGTCTCTCTTGCTCCTCTGCTTTTCTGCCACATGAGGAACAGAATTTCCTCCCGGCAGGAAGCTGCAGTGTTTGGGTACCATCTTGGACTATTACCAGACACCAAACCAACCAACTTCTTGATCTTGGACTTCTCAGCCTCCAGAATTGTAAGGGGAAAAAAATCTGCTTGTTATCAATTGCCCAATCTCAATATTTTGTTATAGCAGCACACACACACACACACACACACACACACACACACACACACAAATGAAGATAAGACATATATTTGCTAGCTCTGACCACTGAAAAGGATTGGAAGCAGTAATACCTTAAAAGCAGTAGGTATACCTGGCAAACAGATACTGGTTTATAAATACCACTCACCATTAAGAAAATCAGGAATCCTCAGAAATGATACTTGAAAATGTTTCTTAAAGTCCAGAAATGACAAAATTAGGAATTTAAAAATTCTTCTTGAGGCCAATCTCTTTGAAAGATTATAAACTTTCTTCTTTTTTCTCTTTTAATCGCTTCTTCCTTTCTAATTGTTTAAAATATCAGAACAGAGTTTTTTCTTCAAATTAAATATTACGTAACTATCATTGAAATCAGAAGAAACCAGAGAGGCTTCATCAAAATGCACTCTATGGGGAGGAGTCCTGGAACTTGCCACATGACCCTCCCTTGAGATGGTTCTTGATGGCACCCTTAGCATTCTTTAAAATCTAGTCAAAAACTACACCTTTAAGTAATGGGAAATCAATGGATTTTTGAGCTGAGATGGCAGGTCTTTTTCAGCTATAAACCTCAAGGAAAATATTTATCTTCTCTTTGGCTCATTTTCTCCTTAGTGATAATACCTTCCAGAGAGATGGTAACAACTAGACACAAAGTACATGGCATGGTGCCTGGCCTATAGGTTTTCAAATAAAGACAATTACAAAGTTAATGATCATGCCGATGACAATAGAAACAGGTGTTGAAATGGATACTGGTGTTGCCAGGCACCAAATTCCAAATTCCCACACTCATTATGAGATCTATATTTGGCGACAGATTCTAGGCTGCCTCCAACAGCAGGTTCAGAAGATTCTGAACACTCTGTAGCCAGCACAGCGAGTTCCCAACCCGACCTGTGCACCTCTGACTGACCCAGGTATCCAGGGAAAGGAGTTCTACCTGAAGCTCTCCTGAGTCTGAAGATGAACCGAGCTTGAGCAGACCCTTGGCCTTGGTTCTGGTCCCCCTGGTATGACTCCACTTACAAGATCCACTCTGGTGTGAACCTAGTACATCCAGCCGTAAAACGAGGAACTTCCACCTGCTCAAACCCAGCATGACATGTTCCTAAGTATTCTCTACTCCAGAGCAGAGGCTGCTGCCTCTGCACAGATTCCTCTGCTGCAACCCTGGAGCTCTGGGAAGAGCAGCTGAGTATGTGGTTTTCTCTTAAGATTCTCCATGTGTAGTTTTATGGATAAAATACATATGAACTGTGTCTTGGCTGTGACATTTTCCTCATGTTAGGTAGGCATTGAAAATGCACTAGAAGACTAGCCTGAGAACTACACATCTACAAGAGGACTTCGATAACCTCATGGAAAAATGAAATCAAAGTATACATTTAGAGCCGATCCCTAGGGCAGTGGTTAAGCACTGTGCTTTGGGAACCAGATCCCAGATGTCTGACTGCAATTCAAATCCTGATGGCTTGAAAAACATACTAGGTGTGTGTGTGTGTGTGTGTGCACGCACACATGTGCATGTGCCCCAAAAAGAAATGGAGCAAAAAGATTGTGATGTGAGCACACTTCATTGAGGGAGAGGATGCTTTCTTTCTCTTTCTCTCTCTTGCAGATAAATATGCTCTCTGGCAATAAAAAAATACAAAAATAGTTCATTTTGGTGCAAAATAATTTTGAAATGCACATAGGGGCCAGCAGGTGGCATAGTAGTTAAAACACTGGACTCCCACATAGTTGACCATGGTTCAAGTCCTGGACCCAGAGCTTGAAACTCATGCTGGGCGTGTGTGTGCATGTGCCCAAAATCCTTAGAAGAGAATGGAGGAGAAGAGATTGTGGCATGGCCATCTCCCCTGGTGGGTGATTTCTCTCTTTCTCTCTCTGTCTCCCCAATGAGCACATGCACCCAACAGCAAAAAATTCTGTGAAAAAAAAGAAAGAAATGCATTAATTTTTCTATGACATGCATTTTACATGAAGTTTCTGAAGACTTGTGTGAATGCTAATGATATGTATGTTTGTGTGTGTGTATATATATATCCACACAACCACTCAAAGGACATTTAATGTAGAAAGTCAAAGTTAACTTCTAAATATGTTTGTGTCTTTCCAGGCTGACTTATGTGGTGCTGCCAACACCATCTGCTCTGAAGCAGAAAGACTACTTAATAGGCAAAAGCAGCTGCCAGTTTAGGCTTCCATGTACTCTCTCAGTTCCCTCCAGGTTGACCTGGTGTGACCACCCTTTCTAGGTAAAGAGGATTCTATCTCTACTTGACAATATGTCCTCAATCTCTCAATCTGAGGAAAGAAGTCATGTCAACCTGGCTGACTTTATAGAACAGGAGGTTGGGATTTTTATGATTTAGTACCACTGCTATGTCGATCACTCAGAGGGGTGAATCCAGGTTATCTGGGTTTGGGAACTGATTGTTATCAGCGTTTCAGTGCCACTGATGTGAGGAAGGGTAATATTTCTGAAGTACTAACAGATACGAAATTACCCCTGATAACTCAAGATGCATTAAAATGCTGTGGTTGATCCCTGGGGAGGGGAGCAGGCAAGAGTGACGGTAGGTGGGAGAGAAGAACATTTATGGAGATCAAGATTTTCTATGCTTGCAAATTGGGGACTTGAATTGAAAATTAATTTTGCTATAGGGAAAAAAAAACTCTATCTCTCTCACAGTTGACATTGAGAGATGAGAATTGTAATCGCTTCAGATACTTGTTGGGGACTTGGTGATGTGAAAGCATCCTAAAGCTAACTGCTCTTCAGTAGGCAACTTCAGCAAGAGAATGACAGCAAATACAAGGTCATTACAAGAAATTTAGAAAATGCAGTATATCTAAATAACGAGAGCACTGATTATAATATTTGCGACTATTTCCTCTTTTCTTTTTATTAAAAAATAATTAAACTGATCTATAAACAAAGTGTAGTACATTAAAACAGACAATTTACATTGAATTATCACAGAAAGAATATTTTATTAGAATTTTATTTTATTAAAATATGAATACTTTAATGTCATTAAACATATTTCAAAACATATATTGCTTTATTGTAAAATAATCCATGTTCTTGGCTGAAAATTTAGAAAATAGAAAAATTTTAAAAAGAGAGATGAACTGGCTCAGTGGTGCAGCAGTAACTCAGGTGCTACTATTCAGCATGCTACTCAGGTGCTGCTGAATCCATATGGAAGATTGTGGGTTCAGCTCCCTGGTTGACATATACAGGCCTAGTGTCCACTCGCCCTCCAGCCGACTGAGGAAACTGGGGGAGGGGAAGGGCAGAGATCACAGTGTGAGACCTATTGAGGGAGTTTTTTTTTGTTGTTGTTGTTGTTTGTTTTGCCTCTGTGGTTAATCCCTGGGGAGGGGCACAGGTAGGTGGGCTGAGGGAGAAGAAGAAGATTTATTGAGATCAAGGTTTTCCATACTTGCAAATTGAGGACTTGAATTGAAAACTAAGTTTATAAAAATCTCATAAAAAAGCTTAAAAAGAGAAAGTTGTTAAAGAAGATAATCCTAATTAACTAAATATAATCACTATTAATATGCTAGCCCTGAATCATCATGGGCAATTGTTTTGTCTCTAAAATCTTCCTTCTCTTTATCTTTAAAGATTGTAAACATGATTTTTAGTGGCTGTCCATCATACGTATGCACTGTAATTTATTTAATGCTTTATATTGTCAGCTTTATGTTGTCTGTTATAACCCAGCTGCTTGGGAAAAATAGTAATAAAATGTATTTCTCTGACTCTCTTCCAACTGTCTTTCCGTGGACTTCAGGCTCTCTTCAAAGACTCCTTTCTTCATTTCTAGGACTCACCAAAGAATTCATCTATTCATCCAATCAACTGAGCACATGCCATGTACCAAGCAAGAACTGGGCATGCCATCGTGATAAAAAATAGACACAGCTGCTGTCTTCTTAGTGTTTCCAGTCTTAAAGGGAAACCAGATCTTAAGCAAACAAGTCATCAAACACAGACCGTGTTAAATGCTATGAAGGAAAGGTAGAGGCTGGTAGGAGAATGGCAAAGGGCTTAACCTAGGCCAAAGCTCAGATATGGTCTCTGAGGAAGTTCCTAGCTGTGGAACTTTACTGTAGAGAAGTCCAGTGGGCTGACTGAAGGCTTTAGAAGAAAGAGGATTGTCTCTAGTAGAAGGAAGAGCAAGAGCAAAAGCTCTGTGACTGGAGGGAACATGGTGAACTCCAAAGTCTCCCAACAACTAACAGACTGATCTTGGGCTGTGCCTGGATGCTGAGACTCTTCCTTGGGGATATATATATATATTCCTTACATTATTTGGTCAAATAAAGAGCAATAGAAGAACAGTAGTTCCTAGTTGTGACACCCAAAGACAACTTAGCAATGTGTGGAGACATTTTTAGTTGTTTTTGATGGAGAATGCATAGCGAAAAGTCATCGACTGGGCAGAAGCTAGAGATGTTCCTAAACACCGTATAATGCATGAGACAGTCCCCATGATAGAGCTTTATCTATTCCGACATGTCAATAGTACCAAGATTGAGAAATGCTGTTCTACATGTTCACATCCTGGAAGCGAATGAGAATTCAAGCCATGACCCTTTACAATAGAATGTTTCATTACATTACATTATTTTAATGTATACACCATTGCATGCATTATTTTTAGGCATTTTTTTATCCTCAATAATCTATTTTCTCCCTTGCATCTTAGTCCATTTTTATTTCTGGGGAAGGAACCCTTGGTGGGGCTTGTGTGGAGTTACTTAATTCCCTATCTATTGGGACAGTTCTAAAGCCCTTTAAAGTACAATCTTTTTTGAATTTTTTGAGTCTCAAGATTACTTTATGAGATACAGTCAACTCCACAAGTCAATGACTGCTTATCATGAGCACAGCACATGCTCAGCTCCTGGAAATACAACACAGTACTTGATAGTACACAGAGGGTCTGGACCTTGAATACATACATTATCCTACTTATTCTCCCAGTAGTCCTATAAAGAAGAGATTAATATAACTCATTTTATACATGAGTAAACAGAAATGTGGAAAGTTAAGTCATACCTACATCATATGGCTAATGTGTATAGACTTCAAATTTTAATCTAGGCACATGGTCTGATTTAAGCCAATGTTTTATAAATTTCCTAACTCCCTCCCTTTTGATGGAAGCTGGAAACAACACTCCTATCCCTTTGAGAATGTGCCCTAGTTAGCTCCTTAATTTGGGAGGCTCCATTAATCAGTAAGCACAGTCCTGAATGAAAGAAAGAATACTAATCAGGAAAGTGAGCCCTCATAATGGCTTCACACCCACTACACCAGAAGAGGCCGGCTTTTGAAAACTGACTCCTACTTACTTAATATCCTTGTTGAGGTGCTGACAATGTTAGGGAACATTTCCTGATATTTCTGAAGTTCTGCCTATAAGTTGTTTCCAGGGAAATTAAATAAACACAATTAATCTCATATGGGAAAGGTCCTGGGTTCACATCTCAGGACCTCATTAACCACTCTGGAAGTCTAAAACTGACTGTAAAGATAACAATATAGTCAAATTCAGAATACTTCATTACTATAAGGATAGTATGTAGGTCACTTTTAACACTAATACAGAGTTAAAAGACAAAAGTATTGGGAACCAGCAGTTAGCGTAATGGCTATGTCTCTGGACTCCCATGTAGTCAACCACTGTTCGCGTCCTGGACCCAGTGGCTTAAAACTCATGCCGGGCGCGTGTGCGTGCATGCCCAAGATCCCGAGAGGAGAATGGAGGAGAAGGGATTGTGGCGTGACCATCCCCCCTGGGGGGTGATTTCTCGCTTTCTGTCTCTATGTCTCTCTCTGTCTGTGTGGCGAGCGCACGCGCCCTATGGCGAAAACCTCTTCAAAAAAAAAAAGAAAAAAGAAACAAACAAAAAAAGACAAAAGTATTAAAAATAGCTGTAATAATTTATTAATGGATATATAATATAGACATGTAAATTCTGACATCAATAACATAAAATGTAAGGGAAGTTAAAGTATAGAGTTTTTCATATGTATGTGTTCAAAGTTTTGTTATTACTTAAAAATAGACTGTAATTAAGATGTTTGAAATAATTCTGATCATAGCCACAAACAAAAAAATCTAGTAGATATACAAAAGATAAAGAGAAAGGAATGAAGTATAGCACTACTAAAAATGTTATCAAATCACAAAGACAGCAAAAGAGGAAGAAAGAAATCAAAACTACAAAACTACAAAACAGAAAACAATGAACAGAACAGCAATAATCAAAACTTATTTATCAATACTTTAAATGTAAATGGGTTAAATTATCTAATTAAAAGAGTAATTGAATGGATTTTTTAAAAAGCTGAAATGAAATACTGCCTACACAAATGCACTTTAGCTTTAAGGCCATACATAGTCGGAAAGTGAATGGGTAGAAAAATATATTTTATGCAAATTAAAACCAAAAGAGAGCATGGGTGACTAATGTCAGATAAAATAGACTTTAAGTCAAAATTGTCACAAGAGACAAAGACCACAATATAAAAATAAAGGGATGAATTCTTCAAGAGGATACAATGATTATATGCACCTGGCATCAGTGCACCTAAATATACGAAGCAAATATTAACAGAACTGAAGAGAAAATAAATACTAATACTATATGAACCAGCAATCCCACTTCTGGGTGTTTATTCAAAGGAAATGAAATCAATGTCTTGAAGAGTTATCTGTACTTCCATGTTCATCATTTGCACTAGCCAAGATATGGAATCAAATTCAGTGTCTATGAATGAATTAATGGATAAAGAAAATGTCACACACACACACATACACACACACACATTATTCAGCACTAAACTAAAAAAAAAAAAAAAACCTGTCGTTTTTAACACCATGCTAAATAAAATGAGCTAGACACAAAGACAAATACTGAATGATCTCACTTATATGTGGAATTTCAGAAAACTGAACTCATAAAAGCGGAGAGTGGAATGGTGGTTGCCAGAGGCTGAGGGGGTTGGAAAAAATGGAGAGATGTTGATCAAAGGATACTCAGTTCTGCAGGATGAATAAATCCCGGAGATCTAATGTAGAGCATGATGAGTATAATTAATAATAATGTATTTGTGGACTTCAAAAAGTTCACAGAAAAATGAAATTAAAGTTTGAGCCTATTTTAGCACCAAAACCTTTTGACATCCATGCATAGTTTTTTGTTTTCCCCCTTTTTTTTTTTTGGAGAGATTTATTCTGTAGGGCACATGCACGCGCCAAAAAGACAGAGAGACAGAAAATGAGAAATCAGGGGGGATGGCCATGTTGTAATCCCTTCTCCTCTGTTTTCCTCTCAGAATCTTGGGCATGCGTGCACACATGCCCAGCGTGAGTTTAAGCCACTGGATCCGGGACTCAAACTGCGGTTGACTACATGGGAGTCCAGCGACATAGCCATTATGCCAACTGCTGATCCCCATAGTTTTTTTTTTATATAATGCATATTTTCCACATTTGTAAAAGCCTGAAAGTAATTTTGTATAATATCTTCATACTGAAGTGCTTTGACTATGACCCGTCATATGAGGTCAGGTGGGGAATTCTCCAGTTGTGGTGTCATATCAGCTCTCAAAAAGTGTTGGATCTTAGGATGTTTTAGATTTTGGATTTTCAGATTGTGAATGCCCAACCTGTATTTGCTTCTCAAGAAACTGCTGTACATATATATCAGGGTTCTACATTCAGGTTTCAGGATGACCATACCTCTCACTGAAGAAATAGTACATTTCCCATAAAATTAATGTGTTCTCTTGTTAGGTCAAGGCCCACCTAGTTGGCACATTTTTATTGACCCCTGGCAGTGGTGATTTTGCTGTTACAACTCTCTCTGGACAGATGGCTTTGTATGGCTGGCATCCTGTCACTATCCAACAAAAACAAGATAAGTCATTCAGTGACTGACCACAGTTAAAAGCAGAATCAGTAAATCTCTTTAACATGGGACTTGCCAAGCAGAGCTCTCTGGTACTACAAATGTACCGACCAGTTAGAGAAAGATCTTCCAGGTCACACCATTCACTCCTCACCCCTGACTATCTTTCTTCTTCTGGTCCAACTTTTTTTTCCATGATCATACTGCAGTCTCTGCTGAAATTTAAGAAAGACTAAAAATCAGGGACACCTGTTATAGTTGGACACAACTCTGTTGTCTGTGTTACAGTGGCCATTGAGCCTGACAGCTGCACAAATGTGAGGCCAGTCAGGGTTTGCTTCAATAGAGAAGTGCTTCTCTGTTTGGAAGAAAAATCCATCTGAACTTCAGATCCTGGGCGGTTGCTGTGGGCTAGTTTGTTTGTTTTCACAGAAAGAATACTTTCTTGTCTATTTCTTTAGGTAGTACACACATACACACACACACACACACACACACACACACACATATATATATATAGCTATAGAACTAGCAGTTCATTGAAAATGTCGAAGTGGAGAATCATAAAAATAATATGTGTGTGTGCGTATACACACACACACACACACACACACACACACACACACATATATATATATAATTAAAATATAGAAGTCTATTTATGTTCCAACCTGTAATATAGGATCAAGGCTTGGTTTCATTTGAACACACCATTTGTACCTCTGTTGTTGCCTCTTTTGTATAGATTACACTTCTAATGTAACATGTAATTTCCAGAATGAATTTCTTTAAAGTAGAACGCGAACTCCATGATAGTGACAAGATACTCTGAGAATAGCTTCCATCTAGATTTTTTAAATTAAATTTAAATGTTTTTATATTCAATCACTGTATATTATTGCCGCATGCAAAATAAAATTTTCCCAGCATAAATACACTTTATTACTCCAGTTGACAATATTACCATACCCATTATTATCAACAGATAATTTTCCATTTTTATGTCCCTTAAATGTTTTGCTTCTTTCTTTTTCTCCTTGATTCCCTCCCTCTCACCTTTGTCCATTTCCCATCCTCCTCCCATGCTGTCTCTAGTAGCCACAGTTGCTCTCCAGGCTTTTAATGTTCCAATCCTGCAGTTCTGCCACAGAGTGCAGAGATTCAGTGTACATTGAATGAGGGCATACAATGCCTCTCTTTCATAGTCTGGCTTGTTTCACTTAGTGGTAAATCCTCCATGTTCATCCACTTTCTATCAAATGCCAGGGTATTATTGTTTTTATGACTGAGTAGTATTCTGTAGTGTATATGTGCCTCACCTTTTCAATCCATTCATCTGTTCGTGGGCATTTGGGTTGGTTCCATGTCATAGCAATTGTGAATAATGCCACAGTAAACATGGATGTGCAAG